GAGAGAGAGAGAGAGAGAGAGGGAGCGAGAGAGGGGAGTTACAGAAATGAAATTGAAGTCACAGCATGTCAGGGAAGCAGCAACATGCAGCAGTGATATTGAGATAACAAGCATGTTGCAAAAGGAAGAGAAAGCTGTGAAGAAATGAAGCGGTTTGGACACCCCTCAGAAGATTTTTGAATCCATTCGTTTTAGGCGAGTGCTGAAATGGGGTGGCATGCTGCCAGTGATGAGCTCTTGTCTGTGTGTGAGAAAGAGAGTCACTTCATCAGATGTGTCTTTCAAAGCGAGGACAGGACATTTCCTTGAAGTCCTACTCTTAATATTTAAAGCAAACCTGTAGAAATTGATTGCCTGAAAATGATTATTATTCTGCCAGGCAGATGATGAGTAATGCTGAACTTGGTGGCAGGACTTCGTGCACTGTAGCTTTTCTCCTGCTGCAGTGTAGTACAGACCTTTGCTGTAATCTAACAATCTTCCTGAGTCACCTGGTTCATGTAGGATGATACAGACATAATGGATCATATTCATATTGCATGGACTCAGCATACATATAGTACAGTACACTCCTATTGTTGGAGAAGCCCAGTATGCATATGCTACTTGCTCATCTATAAATGAGCCTATATGTATAGTCCGCAGTCCTGAATAATAAATGACATCCACCACAAAAGCGGTTCCCGTGCTCAATTGAATTAAGTATGATTGATCCGCATATTGCCACTGGAACTATAGGAACCACTCAAGATACCGTCCCTATCACTAGATTCTTTCAAATATCAACTCAAGAGGTGTAAAATAAGATTGCATACGTAGGTGGAGGCTGTTGCTGGATAAGCACTGAGCAGCACTTAAAAAGGTACAGGCCATTAAGCCGTGGGCTGGATGCAATGAATGGGAAGCTTCTCTGTGACATCACACTGCCAAAGAAGGATGGCTTAATTAAACTTTCATCCGACAAATATTCATGCGCGTTTAATGATCCTGAATCACTTCATTCCACATGAATTATGAATATTAATGAACAGGAGGAATGGACAGTGGGAGGGTGTGCTGCGTATACGTTGGAGCCTAAAGGAAAGGCTGGTGTTAAGAAAGATGTGTCTGGCCACCAGTCAATCACTTCACAGTCCAACTGAGCCCTCCAGGCCAGAGGTCATAATTAGAAGTGTGTGTACCCTGTGTGTGTGTGTGTGTGTATGTGTGTGTGTGTGTGTGCGCGCACGCAGCCTTAGAAAGCAGTCTTGTGTGGCAAAATAGCCATAAGATTTCATCAACATCTGACCAGATCAGGGGTGGCTGGTGGTGGCCTATTTCTGGGGTCCTGCCCTGTCACTTCTCCCCCCTTGGCGACTGCTCACTGGTTACCGTCTTGCCCTTTGGCGTTGCTCCCATTTTGTCAAGTTATTTTTTTCTTCCTCTATTAATTAACACAATGCAGCCAAATCTCACGTACGCCCAAGAACTCCGTCATAAAAACAGAAGCTGATGCACTCATACTAATGTTGGTGAGTGTTCGCTGTGATGGATTTGAGCTAAAGTGCAAATCAACTGTATTTTTGTAATTGCTGCAAATTAGCACAATGGCTTCCCACTTGAGCACCACTTGTTTCCAGGCAGATTAAAAGGCGTGACAGTGCTCTACTTGTCAATGTATCGGATCATAAAAAACAGAGTCAGGCCATTTGGTGAGTTTTTCACAGCACAATGAACTTTAACAGCTCAATGCATATGGGCTAAATAATGAGTCTAAAAAAGAAAAAATAATATTTAGTGACATATGATGTGAACCACTGATCAAGTACATTTCAGCCAGAGATGCGTCAGTCAGTTGGTCTCTATGCTTCATGTACAAAATGGTGATAGAGAGAGATATTGAATTTTCTGAGACTTGCATCAACAACAGCGAAGACTTTATAGTGTTCAAATATCCCCAAACTCCTGATTATGTCCAATGTATGTGTAAAAGTGAATGCTTTAAGTGAACCACTGACATTCATTCAAGATCTTGCTTATTGTATTATAAAACAAAAATACCATTCTCGAATAAAAGTTCTGTGATGACAAAAGCATCTCACTAACAAGCCATTTAGAACCCTTTAATGTTATGAGAAACTTTAAAGTGGGCTGCAGGCTAAAAGAAAACATCAAAAGAGGATATTCCTATGACAATAGAATCAAATTCCTTTCTCCACATACCCCCCCCCCCCCGGAAAAAAAAAAGACAACAAAAAAGATTTTTAATTAATTAATTTTTTTTTTAACCACAGTGCGACTAACACGGCTGCAGAAATAAAGAACCCCCTAATGCAACGCTGGTGTAGCCAGCATCACTGGATCAATGCTGCCATCTACTGCTACTGGACTACATGACTTATTAGACAGTATTTAGAGTAATGGATGCATTTCTCATTTTAAGGGATTTCAATGATTTGTGTAAAAATATCCAATTCAGTTTAGAATGCAAGAGTGATATATATGCAAGAGTGATTGATATATATATATAAATATGCAACAGTGTATTAATTTTGTCAATGAAGATAGTAATTACAATTTCACAGATTTAACACTTGTGTCCGTTTTGTCTTCCCCTGTTATACTCCTTTTGCTTATTTTCACACTGTATACATTGGCCTGTGGTACACTTTCATAGTGCTCTCCTGAATGCCTTCCAATAGCTGTAAAAAAAAAAAAAAA